TCATGTCAAGAGAGGATTCATATGCCCACTTTCCTGCCCCTTAGCCCAAGGGTAATACTTACTCACTCTGTCAACATTTGGGATGCCAGCACTTTTAAAATGCTGAGTAACTCTACATTATTATAGCATTTCATTAAATCTAAGACTCCATTAACTGTAAGATGCACTGTTTCTTTTATATACCAATAAGAAAAAAAAATCACACAATCCATATTTGTAAGACATTACCAATTCTCAGAGATATATTTCTATATTTTAAAAACCTATATCTAACAATTCAGTGCAATATAATAAATACCGATCCTCGATGACATGAGGCTGTGTTGTACAGAATACAGTGGGGCAAGAGAACGATCCTTGTCCTCGGGAAATAAAACAAAAGCCTTTATAATCATGTAAACCATGTTTATAATCATGTAAACAATATTAGAGCCATTGACTTTGCTTACTTCACTGCCAAGTTTTAGACCAGTGCCTGACACCAACTAGGTTCTCAAAATGTTAGTTGAATGGATGAAAGAATGATTGTACATTCTTTCTACGGGCTGATGATAGTAGGTAGTAGGCAGCTTTTAACATGGTTCCTAATTATCCTCACTTGTGGGTATTCACATTCAAGCAATTCTCTCACCTTGTATGTGGGCTGGACCTAGTGACTTGTTTCTAGTGAATAAAATATGCTAAATATAATTGGATGCCATTTTTGAGAATGTTACAAAAGACTGTGACTTCTTTCTTGGTAGCACCCTCTCATCTCATTTGCTGGCTCTGATAAGGAAGCACCCACGTTGTGAACTGTGCAATGGGAGGCCCAGGAACTGAGAGGAGACTCTGAACAACAGCCAGTGAAAAACTGAAGTCCTCAGTTCAGCAAACTGTAAGGAACAGAATCTTGTCAACAACAAAAAGCAGATTCTTCTTCCATCAAGCCTTTAGATAAAACCACAGCTATGGCCAGCATTGTCATTGAAGCCTTGAAAAGGACCCAAAGCTGGAGGACCCATTTTAGTCATGCCCAGATTCTTTACCTACAGAAACCACACACACGAAAAATGTTGTGTGTTTTAAGCCATTATGTTTTAAGCCATTACTGCAGTAATTTTTTATGCAGTAACAGGTAGCTGCTACATGACATGGTGATAGAATGAGTGAGTCAAAGTGCTATAGTGGCTAAAGAACTGCTCAAGTGGTTGTGCTAGAGCAGCTAAGGTCAGGAAACAGTGGTCACAGAGGGGAATGCTTGAAGTTAAGACTTCAGAGGTGATGCAGATAGTGATAACAACAAGATCAAAAGGATGACTACAAAGATGGTGGCTGAGATGAGATCTCCAGAAATGGTGATGGCAGCAGCTCCTTCTAGTTTCTAGTGACAACAAAGGTGACAGTACCAGTGTTTAGAATCCAGTCGAGGGGCCAGACGCGGTGGGTGGCTTACGCCTGTAATCTCAGCACTCTGGGAGGCTGAGGCGGGCAGATCACGAGGTCAAGAGATTGAGACCATCCTGGCCAACACGGTGAAACCCTGTCTCTACTGAAAATAAAAAAATTAGCTGGGTGTGGTGGCACATGCCTGTAGTCCCAGCTACTTGGGAATCTGGGGCAGGAGGATTGCTTCAACCTGGGAGGCAGAAGTTGCAGTGAGCCGAGATCGTGCCACCGCACTTCAGCCTGGCAACAGAGTATGACTTTGTCTCAGAAAAAAAATTCCAGTGCCAGGGAGGCTGGGGGTAGAAGCTGCAGATTCTGTGTGCAATTGTGTGTGGAAACAGCAGGAAGTTCACTGGGACAGAGTCGTGCCTCCAGTGAGCTCTCCAGCCTTCCTGGAGATTCTATAAGCTACCAATAAATTCACTTCTTGGCATAAGTTACTATAATGTACTCCATCTGCTTACAACAAAGAATCCTTACTAACATCCATAAAGATGTTATCCCATGAACATCAAAGAAACTTAGGAATGTAAGATGAGAGGACCATATAAAGGAGCTGAAGAGGAAATGGTTTTGCCAAATCACAGACAAAGCATTATAATAAGTATGCTATGAAATGTGTCTATGAGGATGTTCATTTTAGTATTATTTATAATAGCAAAATAGAGTTGCTTACACAAAAGGTTGCATAGTCAAAAATTGCTCTCTGTAAGACCTAGAAATGGTGCGCTGTTGAAAAACTAATGATATGGAAGAGTGTTTAAGATTTGTTGGTAAATGAGAAGAATGAGGCTACAGGATAGTATTTGCAGTGTGAGCACAAATTGGTTTATAGAACTATAGACACCTGCATAAAAATCCTAGAGGTGTGTATCACCAATATCTCTAGAAAATAAGATTATAAGTCATATAAATTTTCTTCTTTGTGCTTTTAAGTATCTTTAGAATCTTCTGCAATGAGCAGATTTAAATGTTCTAATTATTTTTAAGTTAAAACAAAAGCAGAACTTCTTTCATAATTTCAACTTTTATTTTAAATTTGTGGGTACATGTACAGGTTTGTTTCCTGGGTATACTGTGTGATGCTGAGGTTTGAAGTATGAATGATTCTGTCACCCAAGTAGTGAGTATAGAACTCAGTAGGTAGTTTTTTAGCCCTTCCCCTGCTCTCTCTTCCCCTACTCTAGTAGTCCCCGGTGTCTTTTGTTCCCATCTTTATATCCACATGTACTCAATGCTTAGCTCCCTCTTATAAGTGAGAACGTATGCCACATTTGATTTTCTGTTCCTGTGTTAATTTGCAAAGTGAGAATTTTGATCGTAAGTATTCCTTCTAAAAGCACACTGGGGAGTTGGTCTGGACTTTCTTGGTCGTAACCTAAACATTGTGACCTGATCCCAGGAGGCTGGGGATTCCCATCCAGAATTCCGTGGCTTTGGTGCTCATCGTGTCATGGCATGCCTCTCCAGAGATGCAGAAGCCTACCATGGCCATCAACCGATCTACACTGACCAAGAATGGAACTTTGGAATCTTCTATTTGTCTAGGGTATATCTCCCTTAGGTGACAAGAGAAAGGACAGAGTTAATCTGGAATGGTTGTCCTTTCAAAACCAGGTGTGGAAACACCAACTGTGCTGAAGAATGCACCTGGCCAGTATCTAGTCCTAATTCTCAGTTTAGATTCATAAGGTAGTTTTTAGATTTTTTAAAAAAATCTCTATTTTCTCTTTGTTCAAGGAATTAGTCAAGATTTCTTTTCTTGAAACACGTGGTTTAATGCCTGTGACATTATTTTCCAAACGTGTTTTGAAAGGCTTTTCTTCTCATTGAAGGAAACCTTATGAAACCCTATTTATCTTGAAAGTCTATCTTTATGATAATACAGTACAGAGAGAAGAAAACCCTCCCTCAAAAATTAGAGCAGTGTTCACTCAAGCAAAATGATTCACTTATTTTTGGTGCTTCAATACAACAAGATTTAAAAAATCATTCAGCTAGGTCAAGCCTAATATGCTTTAAATTACGTTGTAGAAAAAGATAAAATCTATTCTGTCTATATATTTCAACAGCAGGACACAAATTTGTTTTTCTTAATTCTATATCAGATAAGGTGCATATGCTGTAAACAATACAAATGGGCTGAAATTCATTCTTTTTATAAATTAAACTTCATATGGTCAGTTGCAGCTATATGGCATCTGACTTTGGAGGATTGAACACAAAGAACCAAACTTTGAACTTTCACATTACATGTTTTCTTTCAAATTCGGTGAATACAATACTACACAATCCTCACTAGAAGTTGGCTCTTCCTGGCTTTGCTTTTTATGCACCACAGAGAATTTTTGAGGTCACTATCAGGAGGGGACACAGACTTCCTTCTGATATCCAGAACTAGTGCCCTAGTACTTTTTCTCCAACCTAGTGATGGAATCTATAGTGTCAATGCCTTGACTTTAGGAATTTTGGAGTGGAAGAACATTGGCCATAGCCTCCTTAGAGGTCAACCTAGAACTAAAATTAGAGGTACTATGATTGTCAGATTTTATTTTAATTGTATTTTCTTCAGGGAAGCAGACATGGGCAACATTCAGGCCATATAAGTCAATAGCCAGGTGAGGAATTCCAGATAAAGTTGCTCAGAAGAGAGTTATCTGAGCAACCCTATCTGGAATTTGCAGTTGCCTGGAAGTTTTAGGGACTGTACCCATAGTCTGCGTGCAGTGCATGATGACCTCTGTGGAAGTAGGCTGTATCAGGCCCCACAAAAATAGTTATGTGTGTTCAGAACTAGCCCTGGAATGCTGGTTTCCATTGCAGAACTCCTGTTTTAAAACTTGAAAGCTATGCCTAAATCCAGGGTAATTTCATGTGTGCTGAAAGTAAAGAAATTGTGTCATTGTTTTCATTCCTGTGGATTCAGGATACAGGTCCTTACAATTTACTTCTTGGTCAAATATATCACAAGACCATTTTACTCGTAAATGAGATAGTTTACCATTTTACTTATAAAGAAAGTTTACAGCAAAACTTCTTGGACTTTTCTATGACAATTATAGGTTGTTCTGTTCTGTTAAGCCAATGGATGAAATACCATTTTGTAGTAGGAATGCTTATAAACATTTAGATGACTTTCTATGTTTTGAGCTACTAATGTAGTGCTTTTTCTGTGGCATTAAATAGTATAAAACAGTGCTTCCCTAGAAATCCCTGACACAGCTCTCACCTTCTCTATATAATACAACAATATGAGGAAAATCCACAATTGTTTCAAAAAAATGAGATTACTAGCCACTCTATTGGCAGGATCTTAGGTGGATTATTCAATAATTTCAAGACCAATGAAACCACACAAAGAAATTATGGCGACCAGAGACAAAGCGATTCCCCTGCAGAAAGGTATGAAGACATTCTGTCCTTCTGTCCCTGACTCAAAAGCATACAGTGTTTTAACAATCAGAAACCAAGGCAGCTTTGCCTGGAGGCTAATCTTCGTGGGAGTCAGAGGGTGTTTGCTCAAACCCAGAGCTGCTAATATTTTGTACTCATGTATGCGGAATTCTCCTTACCAGTAAGAGGGGATAATAGCATGTGGTGTCCTGGTAGATGCTGCTCCTATAGTGGAAGCACTGTCAGCAGTGCGTAAAAGACGATATCCTCAGTTTCATCAGGTACCTGAGCACAGATAAATAATGACATTTTCATTTATTTGGTTTTATTGGAAATGAACCATTTCCTCCAGCCTTTCCAGTTTGTTACCACATAACTACTGCTAGTGTTAACATTTATATTACGATTTCCAAGACAGTTTATCTTCCTTCCTTCCTTCCTTTCTTCCTTCCTTCCTTCTTTCCTTCTTTCCTTCCTTCCTTCCTTCTTTCCTTCCTCCATCCCTTCCTTCCTCCTTCCCATCCTTCCTCTCCCTCTTTCTCTGCATTTCCCTCTGTCTCTCATCTATTACCTTCTTGTTTATAGAGATTCATTGATTAGTACAATTTCTCTTCCTCTTATCTTTTCTGTCATGATCTCTTTATTTTGGTTAATTTACCGCTTGTTAGAATGCTTTTTCAAGAATTGTACTCAAATTGAGTATTTGGATTCTGTATTCCCTCAATCTTTGGTATCTTTTTGTCATGTTAGACAAATAATCTATTAATTTTGTAGTCATTTTTTGTCAATGATCTCTAGATGCTATTTTACTATCTATCAATTAGGTTTTAAATGTTGTAGATGAGAATTCTGATACTAGTCTCTTTGTGGGCAAATACTTTTGTTGTTTCTGTCTAGAAGCTGCTAAGATTTTCTTTTCTTTTTGAACTTCATAAGTTTTGATTTTAGTAGGCATAAAAATATGCATACTAAAGATATACCTACCTTTTCATAAAAAACATTTGGAATTGTCAGTCTTCCTTTAGAGGAGAGAATGTACTTCTAGTGTTAGTTTAATCAGCATGTAACCTCTTCTTTTTGTCCTTCTGAGATGAATGTCATTGATACAATAGGTCTTTTGGATCTCTCCTTCTGGTCTCTTATATTTTCTTTAACAATTTTTATCTCTGTATTTCTCTTCCACTTCATTTTTAAAACAAAAAGTATAAGTCTTAATAGTAGCCATCTCTTTCAATTTATTTACTGATTGAAAAAAATCTAATATCAAGTTTTTTATTTGGCTAATTCAGGAAATCTCTTTGTTCTTATTTTAATTTGCCTCAAGTACTCTTATTATGTTGTTATTCAAATTATTTTCTGTCTCTTCCAGCAAGTCTGTTTCATCAGGGACAAACTCAGGTATTCTATCTATTTGTTCTTCTTGATGGCGGCCAAACCCATGCATGACTGTTATTTGATAACAAAGGCCCACTTCCAACCAAAGAGACTCAATGTAACTGGTGTTAGAAGAGAGGTACCTCTAATGTGGCAGTCAGGCTGTTCCTGTAGAGACAGCAAAAGGAATCCTGTTTTCTCTGTTCCCTAGTCTCCTCTCCTTTCCTCTCCCAGTACTGGAAGTAGAGGTTAAGATCAATTGTCAAAGAGATAGGAAGACCTGGCACCCTTATATTGTGAATGTCCACCCTCTCTGCAGAGTGCCGGGATCTTGTGGGGCCAAGTTCTTTTAGTACCATGGCAGTCAGATCCTTGGGACCTCTTTTATTCCTGCCATCAGGATCCCTCCTAACCCACAGAGAAAGGAACCCTGCAATAGCTATACAGCTGCTCCCCTTTGACCCATATACATTTTTTGGCCCCAGTAGAAATGGGTGGGTTGGAGCCAGAAGGAAGCTAAAGAAACACGGAAAGCAGTCAGCTATCTTCTTTCCAAATCCCTTTCTCCAGGAAAAAACCCTTTAATGGAGAGGATTCATTCTGAGATCATGATATGTATCTTACACAATATGAAGAAAGCTTTACTGGGTTGGCCTCTGAATTATAAATGACTATCTGCTTCCATATTTTATTAACAACAATGACTGATGATCATAGTGGTGCTCTTGAGCAGCTATAAGATTGTAAAGGATTTATAGTATTGCTAAAGAAAGTCAAATTATGCTAAGCACAAGATTTAGTGTTGTCTGACTTTATACTATCCAGATACTTTGAAAATGTAATCCCATGGGTGATTTCCACAATAACAATATGGAAACCAGACTGATTAATCAAAACACTCAAAAACAACTGGTCAAAAAGTGTTTACTAGTTACTTCTGTGTTAGGTCAAATGGAGCTATTCTAAGCTTTATAAAACAGCATAGAATTTTTTTAAAGTTCTGTGGCATAATATTATAAAACTTTCACCTTTTGCAAAATTCAGGAGGTTGAACTTCAAGCTGATAATAATTTTGCTTATTTTGCTTCTACTTATATAAATAAGATTTTCCTCTGTTACTTTCTGACTGTTTTCCTATTGAAGTAAAAAAATGTTGCTTTTCAACTTCCTACATACTCCTTGTAGGACAATTTTTGTGCTTGTAGGGCTAAGATTTGAGATTCTCTCTCAGCTTTAATTTGCTTCCCTTAAGATATCAGTGACAGGAGATGAAATGCTAGCAATATGAATCTAGAACACAATTTTATGACCATGGAATCTTAGAGAATTTATTATGCTATGTAATATGCAATTCTTGGCACAAGAGTATGGACAGTCCTGATTTTGCAATGTTCTTTTCCTAATTTAATGTCTCCAAGCAAAGACACAAAGATTCTACTTTCATAAAATGCTATCCTCAAGTACAGAGGCTTTCAAATATTATGATCATATTTATTATAAATTTGCTTTGTTTCTATTTTTCAGGTCCTTTTGAGAAAAATATTTTTATGTTGGGATATTAAGAAAATGGGTTTGTGACTTGTTTTTCAGTCTAAGTCATGTTTCAGATATTTTGGTAAAAATTTTGTTGTATTAGAAATGTAACAGCACACTGGTAACATCCAAATTATTATTTCCATTGTAGATGTTTCTCTTGAAGTTGAAACATAAATTCAATGGTATATTTGACTTGTTTACTAGGATATACAAGAAGTATCTTAAATATCGTGTGTCAAAGTAGAACTGTTTCCCACCTGTAGGAATGTAATGGTGTCCTTCTAAATGTTATGTTCACTTGGAACCTCAGAATGTGGCCTTATTTGGAATAAGGACTTTTAAATATATAATTATAGCAAGATTTTAAGATGAGATCATCCTGGATTAGGGTGGGTCCTAAACCAGTGACAAGCATTTTTATAAGAAACTCTCTGAAAACAGAGAGACACAAAGGAAAAGACCATGTAAAGATGAAAGTAGGTATTGGAGTTATGCTTCCATAAGCCAAGGAACACCAGGAGCCACCAGAGGCTGGAATAAGCTCCCCTAGGATCTTCGAAGGGAGTATGGCCCTGCCAATACCTTCATTTCAGACTTTTGACCTCCAAATCTGTAAGAGTATACATTTCTGATGTTTTAAAATCATGTGGTTTGTGGCAATTTGTTACAGCAGTCACAGGAAACTAATATACCACTGCTTCTGAAACCTGTTACACTATAATCTTCCAAATTCAAGTAAGTGACAACCCCATTTTCAAAAAGTTAAAGACATACTTAACTGTTCTTTTAGTTTTACATGTAAAATCCAGTTTATTACAGCAAAGACATGGAATCAACCTAGGTGCCCATCAATGGCAAATTGGATAAAGAAAATGTGTTACATATATACCATGGAAAACCATGCAGCTATAAAAAGGAATGAAATCATGTCCTTTCCAGCAACACAGATGCAGCTGGAGGCTATTATCTTAAACAAATTAATACAGAAACAGAAAACCAAATATCACATGTTCTCACTTATAAGTGAAAGCTAAATCTTAAGTATGCCCGGACATAAAGATGGGAATGTTAGACACTAGGAACTCCAAAAGGAGGAAGGGAGGGAGGGGAGCAAGGGCTGAAACATTTTCTGTTGGGTACTTTCTTGGTGACAGGATCAGTAGAAGCCGAAACCTCAGCATAATGCAATATACCCTTGTAACAAACATGCACACATATCCACTGAATTTAAAATAAAAATTAGAAGTAAACAAAGTCTAGGTAATTAGCTAATATTATTGGTTTTATCTTCCAAAGGTAGCTGAAATCCAACTACTTCTTATTACCACCAACACTCTAACCCTACCCAGGGCACCACCAGCTTTTCCCAGATCTCAGCAGTGGCCTCCTAGCAGATGTTCTTGGTTCTACCCATGTCCTTCCTTTACGTATAGTACATTCTTCATATAGCAGCTGAGGTGATCCTTTTAAAGCTAAGGCAGACACTCCTTGGCTCAAAATACTTTAGGGGATGGATGCCTATCTCAGTGAGAGTTGGAGTCAAAGTCCCTGCCATCTTCCCTGTGATCTTTCATCTCCCAATGAACACTCAGCTTGTTCTCTGCCTCTCCTCCCCACCTTTTCCCCGTCCCTGACACAATGTACTCCCACTACATTGGCCTCTTTGCTTGTCACCTCAGGGCCTTTGCATCTGCTATGCCTTCTGCCTGGAGTGTTTTGCATGGTTTGCCCACATCCTCACTTTCATCTCTGTATTCAAATATCACAGGAGGCTTTCTCTGTCTTCCCTATATATAAAAACAGCCCCCTTCAGGCTGGGTGTGGTGGCTCATGCCTGTAATCCCAGCACTTTGGGAGGCCAAGGCAGGTGGATCACCTGAAGTCAGGAGTTTCAGACCAGCCAAACCAACATGGCGAAATCCCATCTCTATTAAAAATACAAAAATTGGCCGGATGTGGTGGCACGTGGCTGTAGTCCCAGGTACTCGGGGTGGGTTGGAGGTTGCAGTGAGCCGGGATCATGCCACTGCACTCTAGCCTGGGTGATAGAGCGAGACTCCATCTCAAACAAAAAACAAACAAACAAAAAAACAAAAATAGCCCCCTTCATTCTCTGTCCCCCTTACTTAACTTCAGTCTTCCTAATAGCAGTGAGCATGACCTGGCATGCTGCATGTTTATTGCCTGTTCACCACTGTCCCCATCTCCAGCCGAGTGTAAACCTCCTTAGAACAAGAGCTTTGGTTTGTTCAGTTGTTATATCCCTAGTGCTGATCCACAGCAAACACTCTGCAATTATTTATTGAATGAAAGGGCAGCTCAGACAGCACTGTGAGACTCATTTGCTAATACTGTTCATACATTAGGAAAAAACT